ACCGAGTACGATCCGTGCTCAGGACGGGCCACCTTCATCTAAGGATATCTCGAGGAGGGTGCATGTGGCGGGTAGGCCGATGCTACCGACTAGTCTGCTCAACGCTGCAACCGGTGCTATGCGGAGTCTGCATGACAGTGTTCTTTCTTTGGAGAAGCGGCGTCTCTCCGAGAATGATGTGGCATACCCGGTTTCCGTGGCCAAGGTGCCAGAGGGCAAGGGCTTTGTCGATAGCGCCATCGGGGGTATGATTGTCCTGCGGTTTGATGACATCTTCTCTATGTTTAACCTTCATCCGCTGCACTACACCTTCGTTCGGCTATTTTCGCTGAGTATGGAGATGTGGATCATTAGAGACAAGACCCTGGACATCATGATAGTCGACCCACTCTACATGGGAAAATTTTGTTTTTGCCACTCTAGATTTTGCCAATTTTCCTTATGCCACTCTAGATTTTGACATTTCACTTTTGCCACTCTTAGTTTTTGACAATTATTTGAATTGCCATTCCGGTGGCAAAAGCAAAAATTTTGGAGTGGCAATTGTGATACATTTCAAAAGCTAAGAGTGGCAAAAATGAAATAAAATTATTGTGCTTTTGCCACGGAATGGCAATTGTGATAATTGTCAAAAGCTAAGAGTGGCAAAAGTGAAATGTCAAAATCTAGAATGGTATAAGGAAAATTGGCAAAATTCAGAGTGGCAAAAACAAAAATTTCCCATTCTACATGCGTGCCAAGATCTTGGGCAGCGCTGGGGACCGGCAAGTCGCGAGTTTATACCTCGAAGGCGTCATTCTGGCGAACCCAGATAAGGATAACTTCCTCGTGCCTTACTTTCCCGAGTAAGTCATCCCCTCACCGCCCCGTAACATATGATTTCTCATATTTCGATCGTTCTTTTTTTTCCTAACATTCCGTGTTTTGTGCAGTGACACACGTTGCACACTCATCCTCTTAAGCCCAAACTATTCAATGGCCACGTATTTCGACTTGGACCGTCAGTCGAATAAAGACTACACAAATATCAAGAAAGTTCTTGATGATGTTCTCCCCGGCTACGCCTAATCTGGAGGCACCTTTAGGAGGCCAATTCTTAGGTATGGCAAGCACGTGTTCACCCACGTAACGACGTTCCCCTGCGTCAAGCAGCCGCCTGACGGTCAGAAGGATGCCTACTACGCCCTCCGTCACATGCGGGCGATCGTACGGGACCATAATCAACTTCTGCAACCAAATAGTCTCAAAGATTGGGCCGCACGCTTGTCGGCAATCCAGGACGCGGACCTCAGACAAGAATTATTTCGCATCCAGTCGGAGTTTGCGGAGATCATCCATCAAGATGTCCTTCGTACCTCGGGGCAGTTCTACCTTAGATATCAACCATCCAACAGTGAAATAGAAACAACGCTACAAATGTAGGCTGACAACGATCGCGATTTCATGACCATCACGAAAGACTGCGGCTTCATCCACGCTCCGGTCCCTGAGTTGAGTCGAAAGTAGTGATGCTATGTAGTTCTGAAATATCGATTAACTCATGTTGTAATTAAACTTTAATGAACTTGTATGTCTCTTTGGTTTGGACACTCGTTCAACTTATATGTAATCGATGCTATTTATTAGTAGGACCATGAATCATGCTATTAATGTGTTGCTTTTCTCTTCTGATCCTTTTGTTGCATACTTATATATTGCTTATGTATTGTCTGTGAATTGCTACTAACGTTTTGTTTGTCTAGTGCATAGAGATGTCGTCGTATTTCGTGTACAAGGGTAAGGTTTCCGGAGTCTACGACGACTGGGAGGAGTGTCGGAGACAGGTTCACCGTTTCAGCGGTAACAGTTATAAAGGGTACACCACTAGGGCGGCGGCGGAAGCTAGATACGCGCGCTATCTAGTGGGAGAGAGGAGTGAGCGGAGGAGGAACCTGATGAAGACCAGTTCCATCGCGGTGATGCTCATCGTGATGACCGCAGCTCTCTTCTATGTGATGGTAGTTTAGATGATCGATATCGACTTGTAATGTGAAGACAAACTCGCTACTCACGGTCTCGAGACTTGTGATGTTCTAACTTTGTTCGGCCTTTTGAATTCGGAGACTAATATGATGAATTGTATTCGGAGACTAATATTCTATTTGTATTCGATAAATCTGCTATTTATATGTTGTGCTATCTATATTCTATGCAGTAATATATTTTGTAACCTGTGCAAATATCAAAAAAGAAAAAAAAGAAAAAATTCCTAATATTCATACTACTGGCGCACCATACTGCACTTTAGTGGCGCACTGCAATAAACATACTAGTGGCGCATTATCTAGTAGTGCGCCATTGTTTGACATGAGGAAAATATCTAAGACTCCGCGAGAAGGGAAGGGGAGCGTATTTCTCTCTTGCGCCGGGGAAAGAAGAAAAGAAAATTTGCGGGCGTGCCAGTGTACCGTAGTACACAAAGAAATGGATACGGGAAACGAGTGTTTCATTAATCTGATTGGAGAAACAAAATTACAAGATCCCGTAAACAAAAAAGTGCACTTCGTGGCCTACTAGTGCGGCCAGCCTAACTGTGGCGACTGCGGTCTCCTGGTTCCCGGGGCCTGGGAAGGCTCCCGGTTAATTACACCAGCGGGTTGCTCCACGGGATACCTTCGATTAAGATGTGTGGTCGTCTTCGTCGTCTTCGCTTCGCGTCCTCCATGCATGATGATGGTGATGTGTGTGTGGGCAGCGGTAGAGCCCGTGTCCTTGTCGGTACACGCGCCGCAAGTGGCGTGGCCTTAGTGGTGGCCGCGCCCGCCCTCGCCGTCGTGCCTCGTCGGTCTTGGCGGCGTTGGAGTAGTTGGTGTTGGGGTAGCATGGGTTGCGCTCGGCTTCTTCTTGACGACATGTTGCTTCATCGGGGTGTTCAAGGGGCTACGCCTTGCGGGTGTAACGGTTTGGGGAGACCGGCGTCAGTGTAAAAACTAACACGCGCTCACATGGGCATGGCCGGGTGGTTGGCACCTCATCTCGGCTAGACGCCGAGTATCCGGCGGTCCGCCAAGACAAAGGGGGGCCGCCTCACGAGGCTGTGGAAAGGTAGCATTGTAGAGGCCACGTCACGCTGGGCTGGTGCTACGCCAAGGGGTGACCTGTACGCCGGCGACGCCGTGGACCTGTACGTCGCTGCTCTGTCCGCCACAGTGGGTGCACCTCTCATAGGAGGGACCGGCCTTGGACAGCGCTGTTGCAAATTCCAGCTCGATGAAGGATCTGTACGCCATTGACCTGTTCGTCGGGGACGTGTGCCTTGTAAAGGAAGAGCCGGTCTTAGACCCGTCCTCGCGGACATTGGTTCCACCAAGGACCTATACGCCGTGAAGGGAAAGGCGAGTTTCAGGCTGCGTCGTCAGCGAGCTCCTGTTCCGCCACTTCGTCTCCTCCAAGAGCATGATGCAAAACCTGTACGCCGGTGTACCCTTTGCCATGAACCTATTCACCGTGGCCCTGTTAGTCGTCATCTGTGCGTCGCGACCTGTACGCCATGAGGTGTTCACCGAGCGCCATGAAGGCCGCCATGGTAGGGCGCCGGGGCTAGCGGTTGGGCTGCGTTGTTGGAGAGCTCCGGTGCTCCCGAGTAATCTCCAGCCACGTGACACCTGAAAGTGAAGGGCCTGGCGTAGACAAACCCCAACGATGTCGATGCCGCTTTCTGATCCGGTGCAGTCGTCCTTGGCGGCGGCGGCGACGCGATGACGCAAGCATCGTCTCCGGTGTCCGGCACATACTCTACGTGTAGTGCATGTATGCTGGATGGCAGAGAGAGATGCAAGAGAAACAGTAATTAGACGATCATCTCACCATCAGGAAAAATGAGCTTGGTGTTCATGTCGTCGAAGTCCTTGCCGCCCTTGCACGGATGGCCGCCGGTCTCCGTTGCGGCTGCGGTTCCTGCAAGATGTGTTCTGCCTCTGGTGTTTTGTGAATGGGTTTGCCATGTATTGGATGGATGGGCGTGATGGCTGGCTGGTGAGTTGGATGGATGTAGCGCCGGCGACGAATGGATGTGGCGCTGGCGATTCTTCTCTTAGGACGTGCATGGTGAATGGATGGATCTCCTGATTGATGGATGTGTGCGTTGTGAAGGGCGGCGGCCTTGTGGCGTCTACGCGTGCGTGCCCCTGGTGCGACTAAGTAGAGGACGGGGCTGCCTGATATTGAGCTCCGTGACGTCACCCTTCATGACGCCTACTTGATGAAGTTAATGAACGGTGTGTGATGGCGGGCTCCGAGTTGCCATCTTGAACGGCATCCCTGTGTGACGAAGTAGACGATGGGCTGCATGATGTCGAGCTCCGTGTCGTGTCGGTGCCGTTGCCGACGCTTGCTTGACGAAGTCGTCGGCGGGCGGCGTCCAGGCAGGCTTCGCTGCTTCGTCCTCTATGTCTCGATGAAGCGGGCGAAGGGCGTAACGGCGAATCATAGGTCTCCATCTTGAACGGCATCTCTTCGGTGTGACAAGGTAGACGACGGGTTGCATGATGTTGAGCTCCGTGTCGCCATCCTCCATGGCGCAGGCTTGACGACATCAATGGTGGGCGGCATCGTGGCGTGCTCCATGTCGTCTTCTTCTGCGGCACCATCTTTGATGAAGTGGACGTAAACGGTGTTGGCGACCTCGGTGCCGTCGACCTTCATGGCGCCGGCTCGACGACATCAATGATGGGCAGCGGTGTGGCATCGCTCCATGTCGTCTTCTACAGCACCGCGGTAACGAAGTGGACGCGAGGGGTGATGGAGACCTTGGTGCCGTCGACCTTCATGTCATCGTCCTCCACGGCCACCGGTGGCTCCATCTCCGGCACGCCCTCCGATCTCCTCGTCGCTGCCACCAGGGGCGTGTCTCCGCCTTGTCTTCTCTGCTAATGTTTGTGCGTGCCGGACTCCTCCGCCTTCCAGCTGTTCTTCTTGTGTAGCATCTGATAGATGAAAGGCATAGTAACAAATAGAATTAGTCAGCAAGGCTTGGTCTTCTCCCGTTTGTTCATCTCCTCGGGCGCCTGCCGTGGGTAGATCGCCGCCGTGGCCGGCATCTCTTCCTCCTTCAGCTTGCCATCGCTGCCACAATTTCTGGGGCGTTCCTTCTGGATCCCTCCCGGTGCCTCGAGGCCTGATGGATGGATGTATGCCACCATCTTCAAGTCCTCTCGAGGGTGCCTCCTTGGGTTCCTGCCTGCTACCCAGACGAGCCACGCGGGAGGAGCTGCTGCAAACCTCCATGCCCAGGTGCTGCTCCTGGACCCTTGTACGTGTATGTGTTTCTTCGCCTGATACACAAGAGAGATGAATATATTTATTGTTAGTTAACCTGAGAGATGGTACTCCATGTTGTATCTTGACACACGCTCATCCGCAGGCCGGTCGCCACCAGCGTGTTGTGCTTGCTGCCCGTCCTCCTTGTCACCGGCGCAGCCACCGGCCGGACAGGCAAGGGTACGTGTGTGTGTGCAAGGGCGCCGGCGGTGACCATGGCCTCGCGTCTTGATGTGTGTTGCCACCATAGCAGCGAGCACATCACTCCTTTGGCCTCCGTGATCTCCTTGCCGCACGTGCTGCCGCTGGAAAGGACCCGGTCGCGTGGGCTGCCCGACAAGCGTGCTGCGTCGTGGTTTCCCTTGGACCCCTCAAGGCACATCGCTCATCTGCATGTCGACGCTGCCGCCATCGGGCGCGTCTTCTCTTCGTGCGTACCTCCTTCCCGCTGCTGCATCCTGCGTACGTGAGCTCCGCCCCTCCCTGAACACTGGAAAAACAATGACAAAGAAAACACATGTACTAGGAGGAAGAGGGTGATGAGGGCGTCGCGGCCACTGCCGACGCGCCGGCCAAGATTGGGCAGTTTCCGAGTCGTCATTCCTGGCGCCGTCGCTTCTCCTCGTCTGATCGGCCTCAGCGCTGCCGCAGCACCTGTACATGTCCTCCGGCAAGATGCCAACTCTCATCGACGCTGCCGCAGGGGCGCGTCTCCTGGGTGTCTCTCCATCCTCCCTCTCTGGCCGTCGTCCTCTCCCCGTGCGTGAACCCCCTGGTCCATTCGGCTAGGTATGTATTTATAGGCAGGAGATCGACACCCCAGCGGCCGTGCGACGGGCGAAACCTCCCGATTTTCTTGGACCAGATAGAAATGGAATCTCGTTTGGGTAATCTTCTCAGCTCCTTTGATGTTTATCTGCTCTGCTCTTCTTCTTGACGTGCACACCTGTAAAACAACACGACTGGTCACACGTACCTGGCCTTTTGCAAAAGGGCCGGCTTCTTGGAAGAACATGTGATTCTCTGGGTCGGTGGCATCCATTTCCAAATTCTATTTTTAGCTTGCCAATTACTTGATTCCCTGAGACAGCTTCGTACGTGTTTGTAGTTTGTCCTCCGCTAACACGTACATATTTCGTGTACCTGTCCCATTCAAATCACATAGCAAAAAAAAGATACACGTACATGTATGGTTAGCTAGGTATTTTTGGTACTCCTATACGTATATGTGCGCGCTTGCCGGCCGGCCGTAGATACTCAAGTAAGTATAATGTATGCATATGAGCGGGCATTACGGTGCAAAAATAGGAATACTAACTTATGTATATATAACTCCACACTAGCCATGTCTAGCCGGCGTCCATGTTACTAGCCTAGACGTGTGCATGCACGCGTGGTAATTACACCATGCTTTCATGCATGTGCTATGCTAATTTGTCTCACTAATAACTTGCCTTCGCATATATAGCCTGCATCAAAACTCATTAGAAAGAATTATTACTTTATGCAATAGTGCACAAAAACCCGTCAAATAGCCATTAGTAACCCAGAGCACAAGGTAAATATGCCCCCTGGGAGGCATAGTAATGGCGCATCAAGGGACATACTAATGGCGCACTGTCAGGTGCGCCACTTTTATCTGGGATACTAGTGGCGTACCAGGGGTGCGTCATTAGTACTTGTTATTAGTGGCGTGTTAATAGTGACGCACTTGTAGTGCGCCATTAATAGTCAAAACAGGTGCGCCATTAATTAGCCTTTTTCTAGTAGTGCTATCTTCAACCAAGTATCATCAGGCTGCTTCTTTCATTTTGGAATTTCTCTCATGCATGCAAATGTTCTTTTCTGCAACGGTTGAGCATAGAAGTTGTATGACTGTTATGTGCATAGCTATATATGAACGTCTTTTTGCATGACAAAGGTAGTTATGTTCACCTTAGTCGTATGACTACTCTATATAGGTATGAGTTATCCTCGTGGTATAAATACCAAGTGTTTCTCTATGTTTAGCCCACTCAAAATCCCATTAACGCTGAGTACTACGATATAACAGAGAGATGATATATTGGAGTATACCAAAATACAGAAGGGTTCGGGTTATGGTTCGCCATGCATATTTATATTATAAGCCTCATGGAAGCTTTCCAGGAAAGCTACAGCGTCGCCATCCACAAACGTGCATCCATGGCCATTCCCAGGGTAATCTCATGCGTGCTAATGTACCACTTGGTGGAAGGAGGCAACGTGGCTTTCGGCGTCCCCGGGGTGCACTTCCGCTCAAACAATTTCGTGGACTCAACAGTCAGTGCAACAGCCTCGGCCGTCCTTGGGTCACCAGCCGTCCCACGCAGCAGCCCGAGAATGGGCAGGACTCATGAAACATCCAGGCGTCAAGGGCACCACTAGTCTTGGATCAGCAAAGGGCGTCGTGTCCTCCGGGCCATTAATCACCGAGCCCAGCGCAGGCGCAAGGGTTGGCCTCGAGCAAACGCTCTCACTACTCAACACCGGGCCAGGAGTGTATAGGAGGTGCTTCGGATGAGATCAGATGTTCAGATGCATGTACATGAGAGTTACATACACATCATTGTATATAGACGGCCATGGCTCTGCCGCTTGCGCGTAACCGACTCGGTGTTCGAGTCGTGGTCCCTCCCTCCCAAATATATATATTCGATATCCTAATTTAGGTCATCCTCGGGTTAGAGAGATGGCCCATCACTACCGTTCTATCAGTCATGATGCTGTAATTGGCAGACAAGAACACTATTGCACAACTGAGTTCACATCATTTTTGAAGGGGCAAGCTATTGTACCATTCATCAGATCAATGCCCAAAGCATTTGCATCCAGCGATGTTTATGGATTTTTTTTGGAAAGGAGGATAGACCCCCGGTCTTTGCATCTGGACGATGCATGTGGCCATTTTATTATTTATTCACAGAGATCATACAAAGTAATACATCAGTCAGCCTGAAGCCACCATCTAGACAACACCTGTTGTTACACCTATCCCATTGATGAAGGTGTGCCGAATATCCGGGCCTAATACCAAGCGGACATCGCACCAAACCCTAACATCTAATGTCGGATTCCCCAGCCCAGCTACACACCGGGACTGGGTCCGATACCAGACCGACGCACTCTCAGAGACTGCCGCCACCATCTTTCATCGGTCCATCTCCAAAGCAGTAACTGATCCATCGACCTTGCCTGGCCTGCCATCGACGCTGCCACGACCGCAGACAACTCCACCATGCTACACATATCCGTCCACATGCGGCCGTCGCCGAACCTCCGCAGCGCCATGCCACCGGGATTTGCAGTCGGCCTTGCAGTGGATGAGACACCGCCCTTCCGCTTGTCCCGTCCAACCAACACTTGCTCCAAAACGGTGCCCTCAGGAGGGACAATGGCACCAAAGGTACCATCATCATCCGATCCAATAGATCCAGATCTAGAGTTTCCCCCGGAGCATCACGAGTGGGGCGCCACGACCTGCAATAACAATACCGACCTCATAGGCGCCGCCATCGTCTGCCATGACCGAAGACGGCATGATTTTCACCGGAAGTCACGTCCCCCCAACCTCGTAGCTGGCTGGAACCGAACGGAGCCTCGCCGTGAAGAAAAGGGCCGCCGTTGGCACGCCGGCAGGGAGCCTCCAGCTGCCCCTCACTGGTCCTCGCGCCACCGGCCGGCCAAGGCCATACCGAGACGGATCTGGATAGGACAAATACATCCCAATGTTTGATGACATGGAAATAACATTGACGCACGTACAAATTAAGGTCCAACTTATGATTATTGAATTGATGTGTTAAAATCATTTATAGTTTGCTATAATAAATTCCATATACTTCCTTTGTACCAAAATACTTGTAATTGGGGGAAATTAGTACAAGTTCCCCCCAACTACAAGTATTTCGATACATAGGGGGTATAATACTCCTTCTGTAGTGAAATATTGCTAGGTTGGTCCAGGGAGTTGAACACAGCTAGCTACCTACAACATTGCGAAACCACGCCTAAGCATGAGCTACTCTCCTCGTATGCTCTCTGAATGAAACGGCAAGAATATTCGCCTAGGATTACCTATAGGGACTCAGGATGCAAATGAGGGTCTTTTCATCTTTCGGTAGGGTTCAGTTTTATAAGAACCACCTTTGTCGAGTTCTACCTCTTCGCCGAGTTTTTTATTCCATACTCGTCAAAGTTGCTTGTTTGCCGAATTATGTGCCATTGCTAAGTTGTTTTTACCTTGCACTCGGGACTCGGCTTCCTCTTCTTTTGCCGAGTTCTCCATAAATAAAAGGAACTCGGCAAACAAATGAGCACCGAGCGACCTTGCTGATTCTAGTGACGCTTGTTTCAGCTCTTAAGAAAAGTAATAGACACTAGTAAATATCAATGAAACAAAAATTTCTGACTGAATGCCTGGATGGATGTACACAGTATGACATTGCAAAGAATTGCACTAACTATAAGAGCTTCCTTGGTGATTATGCGAGTCCTCGGAGGCCAATCCCCGTGAAGAAACTGATTACGAATTGAGTGTTTTTTTTGGCAAAATCCCTCCGGGAAACAACGACACAGGGCATATTTTTATATTATGAGCTTTTTAAACCATGATTTTCTTCAAAGGCTAGTTTTGAGTGGACATATAAACCATGCCTTGGTCGGTAAGGGAGATAATTTGCTACTTTGGGAACCTTGAGTTGTTGCTCATCTTTTTTTTTTTACGGGAAAAACTTTCGATCTATTCATCAACTGTCAAGATAGTAAAAAAAAACTAGAACTAAAAATTACATTCAGGTCCGTAGACCACCTAGCGACCACTACAAGCACTGGAGCGAAAACGGAGATGTGCCACTATCATCGCCCCTCCATCGCCGGAGCCGGGCAAACCTTATTGTAGTAGACAGTCGGAAAGTCTTCATGCTAAGGTCCCGGAGGATCAGCGCACCAGAACAACAACCGACGCTGATGAAGAGAAGCGTGGACCGGAAGCATCCACCCTGTAGACACGCGAATATAGACGAACGAAGACCGAATCCAAGTAGACCCACCAATGACAAACGCTGATCTAATCCAGCGAGATCCGCCGGAAACAAACCTCCACACGCCCTCCGACAGTGCTAGAAGCACCACTGGGACAGGGGCTAGGGGCGAGTAGCTTATTCCATCTTCAAGAAGCCGCCGCTGACTCGTCTTTCT